GGTCGCACTACGGCGGCGACGTTCTCTACCAGCGGTCTACTGCATGGGGCAAGTGGCGGCTGCACTAGTTTTTTTATTTTTTTAAAAAAAACCAGCTTCTTTAGTTTTTTCCTTTTTTAAATATATGAAATTACTGAAATGCCCTCAAAAATCAGTTTGATTTAGTCAAAACTATTTTTATATCTGGTTTAGGAGGCAATTTGACAGATTCATATAGTTAAGGTGGTGTTTTGTAAAAGAAATAAAAGTTTATATGGTAACTTGCGAAAATCGTTATAGTTCGGACGACAAAAAGGTTTATTCTCGCATCATCGTCGATGAGGGACGATATATGCAGAGATTCTATCTCCGCTCCGTTTGCAGCGAGACTGGTTTTCTTATATTGGTATGAATTTCTTTTGCGTGTGTGGATGATTTTTGTAAGGTTTTATGCTTCAGCGCGAAGAAGTAAATGGGCGAAGTTGAATGTTTGTAAGATTGTTGTTTAATATGAGCAGTAGTTTGTACCAAAAAAAAATAAAAAAATATGAGCAGTAGTATAAAAGCAGCATTGCACGGACACATTTGTAATGGTTAAAATTGAATTTAACGCCATCATTTTACATGTTTACTATAAAAAACTTTTGCCAAAAAATATGACGTCTACAATATAAAAGCCAAAAAAAAAAATACGATCTTCAAACAAAAACTTGGTAAACATGCAAATAAATAGTGAATTGCAAGTGAATAGGTAGGGGTGGGATTTTATACCCGATAACCGGAGAACCGAACCGGACCGAACCGAAAATAATCGGTTCGGTTCGGTTATTTAAAAAAAAAAAACAGTTTTTTCGGTTCCGGTTATTTTATGCACAAACCGGTTCCGGTTTTCGGTTCCTCTCCAAATGTTTGTGTATTAACCGAAAAACCGACTATATATATGAAATATACATGTTTTATATGTTTTATATATAAATCGGTTCCGGTTCTTGGTATATAATATTCGGTTCCTCATTTTTTATTTCGGTTCTCGGTTTTTCATGATACATTTAGCACATGAGTTGCATTTTTTTGGTCGGTTATTAACTCAAAACCGGTTATTTTCGGTTTTTTTCACAAGTCGGTTACCCAAAGAACCGGAAAAACCGAACCGCTATAACACGGTTCGGTTCTTTTTCGGTTCCTATAAATAATTGTGTAATAACCGAACCTGTTATTTTGGTTCGGTTCCGGTTCCGGTTCCTGAAAAAATCGTTAGGAACCGGACCGGTCCCAGTCCTATGAATAGGTCCCCAAGTTGAAAACATGATTGGCTGCAGTAAAAAGACATGAAAATCCTGAAATACAAAAGAAAGCACAAACAAAAACTACCAGGATACATATATAGAGCAAACTGAGTTGAGGGGAAAGCAAGGGAGTAGGATTCCTTGTTCCCAGTTCCGAGTACAATTCAAATACCCCTAAATCCTGTCGAGCGGAGCATAGCTCTCGACGAAAGGAAAAATGTGGGCCCCCAAAGAAGTAGGCAGGCCAGGTATCTTCTTCAACCTGCTCGTCACACAATCAAAACACATCGGTCTACGAATCGAGTCCAAAAAAATTAATTCATCAGTCCCAACGAGGCTCTCTAAGCCCACAAAAAGAGGGACGGTGAGGTTGGACACCAGGGACCATGAGCCATCCCAAACCCAAATTTCCAAAGTACGCATTTTTTCATCATTTAAGCTCGACACTGAGCCTGGCACCAGCGACCATGTGTCCTTACCAGATATAACCATAGCACCGAGTGACCCACAATATTCCACGAGCTTGATATTAGCAAAATATGCATCTTTTTCATTGAGCTTGTCACTCGGGGGTGCAGGAATAAGAGAGGAAGCAAACTTCTCAGTAGCAAAGTCGAAAGACACGATAAACCAGGGATCAGATTGATTTAACCAGTAATAAGTGCCGTTTACGTGAACACCAAAGTGTCGTGGAATATGTAAAGGATGAACGTCACTGACTTGTTTCCAGGAATTATTTCTGAGAGAATAAAGCTCGGCCATCCTAACTGGAGCGAGAGGGTTAAGTTCAGTTTTGCCATCAATGAGCTTCAAAAATCTTATCACCTTGTAATCCTTATTAGCCGAATCAAACCCGAAACCAAAATAACCGTGGAACATCTTCATGCACCTGCAGTAGCGTGAAAAAGTTGATAGGATGATTTGTTATATGAAAAAGTTGGACTGATAAGTATCCATCCACTTGAGTCCATTTTAAGATTAGCCCCATGTTTCATGATAAAAATTATCACTTTAACAAATGGTTTCACTATCCTTTCAACCCAATTTAATTTGGGTTTCACTATCATTTCGACCCAGTTAATTACTGTCATGAAAAATCACAATCCAATTAATTATGTGGCCTTGACACCCATACACTGGAGATGGTCTTATTTAACTTTCTATGTTATTTTTCAAATTGTAGAATTTATGCTTATGATGTACTTAATTTCTTGTTTATTTCCTTTTTCGTCACAAAATACATAAATGTATATACCTTATAGAGATTGAATCAACTGCATTCCTATTCCTATTCTTTAAACGGGTTGTAAAACTCAACCCCAACTATTAAATAGGTTGACCGTCGAGGTTGACTGTTTACCAAAGGTTGTGCCCTATCATATAAGTCTGCGTCCGCCATGGGGGTGGCTCCGCCCTGATCCTAAACATAAGACTGCTACGTGCATAATGAATGAAACTTACGAGTTTCACAAGTATCCGTACCTTTTGTCAAAGGATGAAGGTGCTGGAGGAAGGATTTTGAATTCCCTTGTGGTCGGGTTCCACAAAGCCTCCCCTGCAGGCTTTGTCATTTTGAAGGTAGGCTTTGTCGTTTCGAGGGTAACTAGTTCATATGATTCTGGTACCGAAAGCAGCAACAAACCATTGCAAGTAGATAAGGGAAGGTGACAACCCTCGGCCATTGGATATTCGAGATGTTTTTCGACTCGAACAAGTTCATCCTTGATCGAAATGATCGAGTGATGTGAAAATCCCTTGTCCACTTCCCCTGTTGCTCCAAACTGCGCCACCAAAAACTTGCTCTCATCCTTCTTGATGATAGGAGTTTTGTACAAATTCAGGAAGGATTTGAATTTTGATTTGGCGTGGGCAAAAAGATTGAGGGACATGCTTCTCATTTATTATTATTATTATTATTATTATACCTCTTTGCCTCTTTGAAGAAGAGCCAACAAACACTCCCGACTTTGAGTAGGCATAGCCGCTGTACTCTTTATTGGAAGTGGTTTTACGGACAGTTATGCCCAGCCCAATATGACAAGCAATCCTATGTTATTGGATTTCGGTTTACGGACCATTAGGCCCAACCCAATAGGATTGGACCAGTCAATGACAAGTAGGGAATTCTTGATTTTTTCCCCTCTTTCTCGTTCTCTTTGTTATTTAACTCATACTGCCTTCAGTTAAAGGCTGACCTTTCATTACCCAAGAGCGTTTGGATGAGAT